AGTGTTTGGCTCAGCAGAAACCAGGCTTATCTCCATGGAGAGTGTGGGAAGTGGGAGTCAGCAGGGACAGGAGGTGCTCTGGGGCTCGGCTGCTCCCCTGCAGCCACCCGATGTCAGCCCTCCAGGGTCCACATTCCCCAAGAGATCTCCCCTCTTTTATCCCATGGACTCCCACAGGTTTGCTCCCCGTTTATGGCAGCACAGGAGGCCAAGGGGACAGTTTCAGTGTCTCCTTTTGATTAGCAACCCCCTGGCTGAGCAGAGTTTATGGGGTTTGTCTCAAAGCCCAGCATGAAGCATAGTCAGGGCCAGCAAGTTTGTAAGGAATCACCCTGGTTCCCAACGGAGCTCCTTTCCAGACTGTAGCATTTAGGATGAGGAGCACTCTGCTTTGTGTATGCTTAAGTACCAGCAGGGATGGGAGCATGGGAAAGGCTGGAATCATACAATCATGGAATAACAGACTACTTTGGGTTGAAGGGACCTTAAAGCTCATCCAGTTCTAACCGCTGCCATGGGCAGGGACACCTTTCACTAGAGCAGGTTGTGCCAAGCCCCATCCAACCTGGCTTGTTCCACACTCCCCACTAGGCTGAGGTCCATCAGTGGGTACCTGAGCTCTGCCCTAGCCAGCCCAGCACCAAAGATCCCAAAGGATTTCATGGACATTTCCAGTTGTGCCTTCACTCAGGGTTCCAAACGCAGCTCAAGGGGCAGAGTGCTGGGATTCGGGGCTTTCTGCCTGAACTCAGAGGAGGTTGGAATGTCATTCTTTCACAACAGAGCACCACGACTCTGGTGTCATGAGTAAAAACATCGCAGGTAAAACAAGGAGTGTTCACTCTGCACCTTGCCCTGCCTGCTCCGTGGAGGGGAGCTTTAGTTTTCCAGCTGAAATCCACTAAATCACACTTCTCCCAGGCGCAATGTGCTCGGATACACTGCCGGCATAGCCCTGGAACTCCCTTCCAGCCACTTGTGGGGCGCTCATTGCGCCTGGCACTGCCCCATGAGCCCATGCAAACCCCATTTCTGCTGAGCACACAACTCCCGGCTTTCCCAAGCGGGGCTCAGCCCCATCCTGCACGCTGCATCCCAGGGGAAAAAAAAAGCCAGCAGGGAAAGGCATCAGCGCTTGGAGAGCAGCGCAGGGTAAAAGCGAAGTGTACTTACTCCTTCTTCAGCGAGGGCTTCCTCCTGAAAGAGCCTCGGAGCCTGCCGGGTGCTTGAGGAACACAAGTTATGTTCCCCATGCCGGCAGCGACCGGGAGCGCCCCGGAGCAGCGGGATCCGTGTGTCCGTGTGTGTCACGCAGGCGCTCCCCTTCCGCCCGCCGTGACTCGGGTGGGTGTGAGCTCTGCGAGGCTTTGGGCTGAGGTTCCTGCCCCTGCCCCTGCTCCTGCCCCTCTCTCTCCCGCCCCGCTCCACGCTGGGAGGAGCAAGCCAGGCCCCGGGAAGCGCGGGCAGGACGGCATCCCTACGGGAGCGCTGCCGGGGAGCCCCGCTGCATGGTCCCGGCAGCCTCAGTCCTGGTTTGGAATGGGGCTCTGGGATTTCTCCGGGACAAACCGGTGCCCTCAAGGGGGGTGAATCCGGCTTCAGAACCCATCTTTCCTGTAAAGAGGAATTAAGCGCAGAGTCCTCTGCCCTGGCAGTGCCTAAAGGGGCTGCAGGAAACCTGGAGAGGGGCTTCTGTAAGAGCAAGTAGGGACAGGACAAAGGGAACGGCTTTAACCTGCCAGAGGGGAGACTGAGATGAGCTCTAGGCAGAAGCTCTTCCCTGTGAGGGTGCTGAGGCGCTGGCACAGGGTGCCCAGAGAAGCTGTGGCTGCCCCATCCCTGGCAGTGTTCAAGGCCAGGCTGGACACAGGGGCTTGGAGCAAGCTGCTCTAGTGGAAGGGGTCCCTGCCTGTGGCAGGGGTTGGAACTGGGTGAGCTTTAAGGTCCCTCCAACCCAAACCATTCCATGAATTAAAAACCCAGCAGTGCTTAGATGGAGTGACCAGAGTGACCACCACGCACTAACATTCCTCACTGGCAAACCGGACAAAGCTGGAGTCCCTAATAAATGCATCTGGAATGTTATTCCAAAAGGAAATCAATCACTGATCAGTTCAAGCAGAAGCAAAAAGGATGCAGAAAGATAATAGCAGTGATCGATTGGTGTTTAAGCTTTCTCTGAGGTGGTTGTATTGGTGGAAAAAGTCCCTGCCTGGATTAAGGTGAATCAAAGAGTATAAAAATATAACAAATAAACAGGCAGTATGTATTGAAATCTAGGAATTATGGGAAATTGGTAGAGGAATCAATAAAGGATGTATGTGACAATGTAACTAAAGGGATATTTATAGAGGAAATGCTCTCAAAGGCTCCTGACCATGATAAGTCCCTTACTCTGTGGAAATAGAAATAATACGAGTGAGTAGTTAACGACAATCTAAAAGGTAGATGCAGAACAACTATTCCTGTTTTATAGCTTAGAATAAACGCAGGCAGCATAGTCATAGGAAATGACAAACTCCTTTTCATTCCATGGGACTGCGGGTGGCTGCTGGAAAGTGAACAGGAAACTTAGATCAGAAGGTTCAGAGAATTCATGTCAAAGTGGTTTACAAGACCCAAAGAACAAAGATCTTGTACCAAAGTCTTGCAGGACCATGGAATTCAGGAAGAAATTGCTTAAGTTAATGGGGATGCTGAGATTTCAATGGATAAAGAATCCTGGTAGTTATGGGTTTGTCAGTGCCACTGACCCCTAGGAAAATGATGTAAGAGCTGTTAGAGAGTTTGATTCACTTCAAGAATTAAAGGAGGAGAATCTAAGTTCATACAAATCAACTTGGGGCTACGGAAATTAGATCTTGTCCAAGTAATTGAATTGCAGTTGAAAAACATCAGGTTTAGTTAATAGAAACAGTGCTGATCTAAGGGATGACTCCAAAGCACATGATGTGACACATCTATGGAGCTAGGGAGACTCCGAGGCACAAAGACCGTAAGATCCATAGATCTCTTACAGACTGACCAGTCAGCAAGAGTCAATAGCAACTCTTAAGGGGGAATATTCCTTGGGAAGAGCATTCCTATCCTGCTCCAGGAAGCAGGGTTTGTCCCTAGTGACAGCCCAGCAGCTCCATCTTGCTATGGGAGCAGAGAGGCTACAGGGATGTGGGTGTAGAATCTGCATGGGGAGCAGACCTGTGACAGCCAAGAGACAACAGGAAGAGATGCACAGAAAGTGAGGCTAGGAGCCAAGCTGAACCTGGAGCCCAAGTTTCCTGCTTTATTAGCAGGAAAGGTTCCTTCTTACCTGAACAACTCCCAGAGGACTGGGATGCTTCTTCAACAAAGGATGAAGCATTTGACTCAGAGATTTGCTGTGTGAGGTCTTGGACAAAACGGGTGTGTTCGACTCTATTAGCATCCACCTTGACTTGGAACGGAAGTCACCTTGCTCTGACAAAGTCCACATATCCCCCAGCAGATAACTGTACAGGCAGGCAACACTTGCCTAGAGAGAGCTGCTGATAACGGACACGCCATAACATTCCCTTTCTGTTGCATAGTCCATTAACCTTCATAATCCAGAGTCAGACACCCCTCTGGAGGGCCCCTCGCCATGATTTTGATGGCAGGGGGCTTCAGCAAGCTCTGTCCTCCCTGCACAGCTGTGAGACACCAATCCACCAGCAAACCCACAGCCCAGCACCTCCTGGCGCAGCCCAAACCTCGCCGTGAACAGCAACAACTGTGTTTGCTTCAGGAAAAACATGAGTCCCATTAAGACCCATGGCTAACACGGTCAGCACTGTGACCAGAAATGTGCTGTTCCTAACGTGTTTGTCCTACGTACAACCTCACAGCTCAAACTAGTGATGTAACTGCCTCTTTCCTGCTGTTATTGCAGCAGGAGAGAGTAAATATGCAATAGACCTGCAAATATGCATCCTTTTATCACTGGGACACCAGTGACATGACCATGGCTGGTAGCACCGATGTGACCAGTGGTTGAGGGCAAGTCCTGTTCTCCGTGTGCTGGGTAAACAGCTCTCCCAGCCCCTCATTGCTCTGCTTCCAGGAGGGCCTCAACCGGGTGGCTGCAGCCTTTAGACAGACTTTTACAGCAGGATAGTTATTTATAGCAGCCTGAAACAGAAGCAAGAGCCTAGAGAGCAGCAAGAAAGAGGACACGGGTGGCGATGGCCAAGCCTGGCGTGCCGACCGGGCAGCATCGCGGCTTAACTGCAGGGAGTGCAGCACACACGCGTGGGAAAGTTCCCTCTGGGGCCCCATGGGGTGTTGCCATGCAGCTTCTCATTGCTCTTTTCACCCCCTGCACTCCCTCCACGGTGAATGGGGGTAGTATTTCCCCCCTTCTCAGGCAGCAGCAAGGGAAGGCGGATCTGATCTGCTGCTGAACCAGGCCAACCAGCTATGCTGGCCCCCAGGCAAGAGACATTTGGCAGCTGGAGGTAAAGGAGGATGCTTTCCTTCTGCTTTTCAGTTCCAGTGTGGGGGAAAGCTGTCAACAGCACTGGAGAGTGGGAATCCTAGGGCGTATAAATCAGTGTGCCCCTAAAGCCCCTATGCATTAGGCTGGGCTTTCCCCAGTGGTCTCTAACACCATAAGCATCTTTGTCCCAGCACAGCATCCTTGCTGGGAATACAAAGCACCTTGTCCTCAGGACAGTGACCTCCAGATGAGTGCAGGACCAGGACTTGAGCTATGAGCTGCTCACCTGTAGCACAGCAGTTCCTTCTACTAATGCCAGACCAACCTGGCCTGCAGAAGGGTGCCCGTCCCTGCTCTTCAGACCTCGAAGCCTGGAGTGGCTGTACCCAAGCAAATGAGACCTCTCCCATCAGTGGCTGCTCAGATGCTCGCAGTCTGCCATGTCCATCCTCTGCCTGGGGCTCCTTCCCCTCCTCTGCACATGGGAACACAGAGAGCATCTCCCTGCCCCACGGGGAAGTGAAAAGGAAGGATGCAAGAGGCAGGATCCGGTATTCAAGAAAACATCTTTATTGTACACGTTGGCTTCTATTGCTTATATCCCCTCCCCAACCCCATGTAGTGCAAAAACTTCAGAGAAACAGAGTTCCACATAAATAAGTCAGATAACTTACAGAGAAATCAAAGTGACAACGGATTGACATGGAGTAAACCGGGTCTGCCCATCGGTAAGGCCAAGGAACCCTCTCCCTGCACACTGGGGCAAGGGCTCCTGCCTGGCCTTGCAGACTGACACCGGGGTCCCTGGGTGAACCACATCAACACACACAGCCCCAGAGCTGCCCACTGGGGGATGCTCCTCCACTGGGAAAAGCTCACGTAGGGAATTGCACAAGTAACATGTTGGGTGAGACATCACTAACTAAAACTGGCAGAGAAGCCACGCACAGTTGACAGTTCTCCTCCCCTCAGATAGGGTGTTACAGACAGACAGACACAGACACACATCCCCTCCGAGGCCTCCTCCTCAGCGAGGGATGTGCAGCACCAGAAGCAAGTCCACCCTGGGATCACCCAGGGTAGATGCTGACACCTCGTGTCCACACAGTGTGGGTCAGGGTGCTCCGGACCCCCGCAAGCTGCTGGGGAACTCTTTTGCCCTTTCCTTCCTTCTTTCTCTTTCACAAGAAAGCAGTGAGCACCTGCATAGTTAGAACATCACAGACACAAAAAGCTCCCTCTGCTCCAGGTTCCTGCAGAACAGGCTCAGTGGTGATATTGCTCAGGACCCAAGTGATGGGGCGACAGGAGCCACACTGCCTGTTTCCCTGATCCTCGAGGCAGGGCAGCATTGCACACCAGTGGTGGTGTAAATTGCTAAAGATTACAACTGAGGCCAAGGGCTCATGGCACAGAACTTCTCCTCAGCCTCCTCCATTGCTTGCTTCCCCTCCAGTTTTGCCTGCCTGCTGCCCCCCTAAGGCAGCAGGCCCCATTCATGTGAACAGCCACAGCTGGCCAGATGTGAACCATCACTAGAACAACAACTTAGCTGAAATCAGCCCTTCAGCAGGCTGCCTGGGCTCTGCTCTCCTTCCACCATTCGTCACACAGAGGTCTCAGCAGAACCTCAGCGTCCTTCACTTCTGACACAGCCGTGGGGCTTTTAGGGTGATCCTGTTCAAACAGGACCCTAAGCCAGGTGCATCTTGCATGGGCTGGTCCAGCAGAAGGCTAGAATCCTGATGTTGCTTATAGGAGTGGGATGGAAAGGTGTTCAAGGCCAGGTTGGATGGAGTCTTGGGTGACATGGTTTAGTGTGAGGTGTCCCTGCCCATGGCAGGGGGCTGGAACTGGATGATCTTCAGGTCTTTTCCAACCCAAACCATTCTATGTTTCTATAACAGACCTCATGCAGGCAGCAGTGCAGACTTCACCCATTTCACCATTACTTCCAACAAAGCAGATTCAAGTGACCGCGTTGACCAAGGGACAACCTGCATGAGCAGAGCCTGGACATCTGCACTACAGTGTCCTTGGGGAGAGGCTGGGGGAGAAGCAGCCCAGATTTCCAGAAGCTGCTGGTAATTTCAGGGGTCCAATGTGAGGCACTGTAAGTGGGCTTGTAAAACATGCAGGCGCCTGGCCAAGGAGAAAGCAGATCACCATAAGCATGGTCTGAAGTTGGGGAGTCCCTGTCTCATCTCAAACTCTCCTTTCACCCCAAAGAAAAGAGATCTCTTAAAAGCCCCTTGAATGTTCAGGCCAACAAACACCACCACAAGTGAAATACAAACTGTAAGTGAGAGATGAGAAGGAGCAGGGAATAAAAGAAGGGTAAAGGAATTAGTTCTGAACAGTTAGACCGTATTTCCAATGCTACATTTGAACACTGTTGAGGTACCAGTGGTTGAGTCATTCCTCTCTTAACGTGAAGGACACCTGATAACACATCTGAGCTCAAGGCTCACACACACACCCTAGAGTATACGCATTGAAAACACCACCCAAGAGGTTTCATGGCATAGGTGGGTCTTACTGCGTGGGTCTTATTAACTTACAGAACTGATTTGCTCAACCTTTAGCTAATTAAAGTGGTTGCTTAATTGCCAGCGAGTTGCTAATTGCAAATGGTCCCTTTCATGCTGTTGTCACAGTATCTCACACATGCACATACAAACCCATACATCTACAGAGAACGTCTTCCAGAACACAGTCATCATCTCTTCCACGAGTGAGGAAAGTAATTGCATCCCTAAAAGCAGATGGGATGGGGAATTGCAGGAGTGTCAAAAATAAAGGGATGTGAAGTCATTAAAAATTAAAATATTAGCAATTCAAATAATAAAAAAGGCAAAATATTAACACCCCAAAGTAATGCCAGGAAATCCTCCTCATTTAGAAGAGAACCGATACCTTCCCCTAAACCCAGCACCTGCTTTGCAGAGAGGGGAACAGCAAACAGGCCGACCCATTCCCAAGCTGAACCAGGACCATGTGCACAGAGCAGGCAGCCACACAGTCACTGGAACCTGGGACAGCAGCAGCACGGATGGCAATAGGGTCCCTCAACTCGTCCACCTGGCTGGGGAGCAATGGTCGGTTGGGATCTTGGTGAATGAGGTGGGACCAGCTGAGCATGGCAACACCGGAGGGCTCAGGATGCTGCATCCAGTCCTGTCTCCAAACCTCACCTCCTCCGGGCTCTGTCCCTTAAGCTGGGCTTCTTCTGTTTTGTGTGTTTTAAGGCATCAATTAGACACCATTGAGAACCATACAGTGGCCTCAGAGTCTTTTAACAGTGCACGATAGGCTTGGTTAAAGAGTTAGGCTACAGTGACATTCAGAGGAGCAGTTGCACACTCAGCCGTGTCCTTGGGTGCTGCCCACCTCTGCCACCCCACAGGACTCCTGGAAGCCTCCAAGGCTGGCTGTGCTCATCCATGTGGCACCGGCTGGATCACGGGAATCCAAGAAGCAGCAATGGTTTTAAGTTCCCCCTCCCCAAAGAAAATATACCCCCTTTGGGTGAGCGGTGAGATGAGTCTGAACGGAGCAGAGAGCATCCTCTCTTCTTGCCCTCTACAAGGAGGGTGCTCGTCCAGGAAGCACATTTCTAACTGCTGTGGTAGTGCTGATCCGATGTGTGCACTGAGAACAGGGATGGCTCCAGGGTTCAAGGAATGCTGGGGCTGGAGGCCGGTCCCTTCGCTCTCCTCCTTACAGCGACCGGCTGCCGCGTGGGGTGAGCCTAGAGCTCCACCACGCACCCCTGTCCCCTTGAGGTAAGGTAGGTCCTGATTCTTTGTCAAAGGCTCGTCGAAGACACCGACAGGGTGGGCGAGGAAGGGGGTGGGAAGTTGAGGAGTTCCAGCACAGCCACCCCTACGCTGCTCCGGCGTGTGAACATGCACGAGGCTGCTACCCACTTGTTGGTACGGGGGTTGTACTTCTCGATGGAGTTGAGGCTGGAGCTCCCGTCATTGCCACCTACAGCGTACAGCCACCCATCCATGGCCACCAGGTCATGGGTGCTCCTGGAATGACCATGCAGAGACCAACAGGCTTGAATGTGGTGTATATGGGGTGTCGAGGAGATTAGCACCTCGGATGGTCAGAGCTCTGCAACCCCACAAGGCGAGTGCACAGCCTCAAATGCCCAGTGAAAATGAACTATTGGGGCTCAAACGGGCCATCAGCAGCAAAGCACAATATAGAGACTCAGATCTTCCCCTTCACTCCCACTGGAGAAGTGCCACCTCTGAATTTCAGGGCCACTTTGGAGCAACCTGCTCTAGTGGAAGGTGTCCTTGCCTATGGCAGGGGGTTGGAAGTGGATGATCTTAAGGTCCTTTCCAACCAAAACCATTCTGTGCTTCTATAAATAACAAGCCTTAGGAGCCTAAAATCCTTGGCCTTCCAAGCCTTAAACTCTCCTGCAGCCCAGCAACACCTCCTACATGGCATTGCCCAGCTATATACCACCTGGTTCTTTGTGGCCAGACTGGCCTCTGCAGAATGTCCCTGCTCTGCCCTCCTGGCACATACACCTTGGTCTTTCACAGTGCAGCAGGGACTGCGGGCTGCCCTTGTGCAGCACAGAGCCAATGGCAGCACTAACCAAGCCTTGGGCATCGCCTGCGCTTCATGGTTTGAAGTGCCAAGCCAGGCTCCTTACCTGCGGATGTTCATGGGTGCCACGCTCTCCCACGTGTTGGTTTTGGGGTTGTAGCGCTCCACAGAGTTAAGGCAGCTGGTCCCATCGTTGCCACCAGCCACATAGAGCATCCCCTCCAGCACGGCCACCCCGGCGCTGCTCCGGCGGCTCAGCATGTTGGCAATGGGTGTCCAAGTGTTGATCTGGGAAGAGGGGAGGTTTGCGAGATGGACAAGTCGTTTTCCATGTATCCCTATGGTATCAGTCCTGCTCTAACCACACACTCCCGACATAACGGTGCTCTCCTGAAAGACTTCTAGGGGGATCCCGCTCACTTCCAGCTCTCCCCTAAAGAGCTGTCCCAGGAGAGACCTCTGCTGACTGGCTTTGGGAAGGCACAGGAGGGCAGGCAGGAGTCCTGCCATCCCAGGGGCACGAGCACAGACATCTCCTTGCTGGGCCACCAGGCAGGTCATAGAATCATAGCATCCTGTTCAGGTCGCAGCTGAACCCAGCCCAAGGCTGAGCTGTATCCATCTCAAATGTGCATAAGTCACCACTGTGGCTTTACAGCTCACAAAACCCCTCTCTCTGATCTTTCTGCAGTGATCCAGCCTGCTCTAACACAGCTGGGAGACCCCAGGACCAACACATGTTCCCAGTCTGCCACAATCCCACTGTGGATGTGCAAGGACCTCAGCTGGAAGCGGGAAACAACTCAGGGCATGTCCAAGAACTGTTCTGCAAGAGCCGGCCTACAGGTAATGGGGATAGAGAGTGTTCTGGTGGTTGGAAACTTGGGAATCTCAGAGCTCAGATGGATGAGCTCTGGCTTGCACCCTGGATACTCTGCCCAGGCAGAAGAGCTGGGAAGGGATGTGATACCCACTCTAATTCATAGTCATACATGGTGGCAGGTCTGCGCTGCACAGGCTCATGTGGGCACACCTTCTGCTTCACTGCAGCTGCAATACTGTGCTAGGAAGTGGTCACATAGAATCAGACAATCAGCTAGGTTGGAAAAGACCTTTAAGATCAAGTCCAACATCTTAAACTACAGCTTAGAGACCACACATACCTGATCCCTCAAAGGCTGCTAAGTTCTTAAGCAACTTGTGTAGCCCTCAGCTTTCTGTAGGGCCCTTTCAGGCACTCAAAGAGGGGAGAAGATAAAGGGTTATCAGGCATGTTCCCTCTTGTGCTTACCTGGGGCTCGTACTTTTCTACTGTGGCTAAGTGGGATGAGCTGTCATATCCCCCAACAGCATAGAGGTTGCCTTCTGCAAGAGGAGTCACACATGCACAGGAGTCAGCCTCCCACAACCCTTGCCCATGGTACCCATGTAGGTACCAGCTAAGCCACCATACCAAGCTCCTGTCAGCAGAGCCCCCCATCCCCTTGCAGCTTGGAGCACTGTGAAATACCCATCAGGCAGTTCCTTTGCCACACCACAAGCTTCCCAAAGCTTGCCTCACATGCTGCTTACTGACCTTCCTCAATATGGGAGCTGCAAGTGCTCCCTAAGGGAGCAATGGGCTATTTTTAGCTGGAGCAGGGGATCAGGACTAATGGCTGTGGCAGGCAGAGAGCATGAACGGGTGATGGAGGGGAGGGAACCTCTGAGTCAGCAATGACAGCTGAAATCAGAGAACAGGGCAGAGGAGAAGCACCACAGGGACACTGGGACACCACAGAGGACTTGTTGGGATGGTGGGGAGCAGCGTGGTACCCTGGCATCCCCAGGGAGGTGCAGTCCTGCTAGGATGGAATGTGGTACTTGCATTAATCCCATAGCTGTATTAGACAATGAGGTGGCCAGTTCTCACACTGCATCCTCCTTAAGGACAGAACTCATTCAGTGGAGTCTGAAGACATCACAGCATTGCACCTGATGTTGTGACACCCCTGGTAGTGTTTGGATCATCAGTAAAAGGACTGTTCTGCTTTCATAATGGAGTGGTAGTAAGGGTTTCTCTTCCTTCCTATGGATGGGTGACCATCCACAGCCAGCCCTCTTGCTCCAAAGTAGAAGGGGCACAAAGGAGCTGAGGAACAAGTTGTGGGTCCCTTCAGGAGTTGCCTCCAGGATGTGATGAAACCCAGTTACTAGGGACACTGAGGACTGGGGATATGGTAGAGGAATGGCTGGACACTGGATTCACAAGCTAGGAAGAAGGGGCAGGAACTAGAACAGAAGAACATGGAAGGGAACCCCCAGAGAGAGCATGCCCGGAAGCTGGAATGCCATCACCCACCTAGCGTTGCCACCCGGACGTAGCGTCTCCTGGTGCTCATGGCAGCGATGGATGTCCAGGTGCCTGTCAGAGGGTCGTACCGCTCTGCGCTGCAGCAGGCAGGGACACAGGAACACAAAGGTGGGACACTGGCAAAGCCCAAAGAGCTCAAAGCTCTTTGACACAAGCCCTCAGGGGCAGCTCCCAAAGGAAAGCTTGGGAATAGAGGGGGGAAATGAAGGGAAGAACTGACAAAGGCTGTATTCTGTTGTGGCAGAGGGCTACAAGGTGGGGTTTCCCCCCCTGAAGAAGCTTTGCCTGGGCCAAAGACGCTGGAACACACAGCTGGGTTACAAGACATCGACTCTTGGGGCCAGTCCATCTCTCAGGAGCTGACCCTGTGGGCTCCCCACGCACCCAGTGCCAAGGACAGTGCATGCAAGAGCAGTGGAGGAGCCTGCAGCAAGGCACTCCCCTACCTGTTCAGACATGAGGCCCCGTCGTACCCCCCAGCAGCATAGAGAAGCCCATGAAGTGCTGCTACACCCAGGCAGCTCCTTCTGGTGCCCATGGACACCTCGGGTTGCCAGGAATTGGTGACGGGATCATAGGACTCCACTGTGGCTAAATCAGAGGTGCCATCGTAGCTGCAGGGAGGAAATAAGGAGAACATGTAAGAAGTGGGAAGCAGATGAAGCTGTGGGCTGGTCCTACAGCTATAGAGCCAACTGAGAGCCTGGACAGCACTGCTTGGTGAGTCCTTATCACTAGTCCTGCTCTCTACCCCTTCCCCAGCTTCCTTAAGGAAAAGCGCATCAAAGGATGTGCTGAAAGCGCAAACCTCCTGCAGTGGATAACCCAGGGAATGCTGTTCAGCCTGGAGAAGAGAAACTGCGTGGAGACCTCAGAGCAGCTTCCAGTGTCTGAAGGGGGCTACAAGGATGCTGGACAGGGACTCTTCATCAGGGACTGTAGCGACAGGACAAGGGGTGATGGGTTTAAGCTTAAACAGGGGAAGTTCAGGTTAGATATAAGGAAGCTTTTTACTGTGAGGGTGCTGAGGCGCTGGCACAGGGTGCCCAGAGAAGCTGTGGCTGCCCCATTCCTGGCAGTGTTCAAGGCCAGGTTGGACACAAGGGCTTGGAGCAAGCTGCTCTAGTGGAAGGTGTCCCTGCCCGTGACAGGGGGTTGGAGGAGCTTTAAGATCCCTTCAACCCAAACCATGCTGGGATTCTATGATTCTATCCAGAGGCCAGCCCTGCTCCCAGCCCCTCCTTACCCGCCGACAGCATACAGCTTGTTCCCGATGGCAGCAACTCCAACCCTGGCCCTGCGCGTTGACATGGAGGCCACCATGTGCCACCGGTCCGTCCGCGTGTCATAAGCCTCACAATCCCCATGGATGGCAAACAGGCTCCCTCCGCCTGCACACGGGATGGTGAACAGAGCAAACAGCAGTGCAGACACCACGGGAAGGGGCTTGCATGAACATGAGAGGGTCTTACCCACAGCAAAGAGCACGGTGCTGGCCCCCTCGCAGCGCCGCGGCCTCGTCCTGCTGTTGCTCAGGACCCCTCTCTGCTCCGGCATGAGGTGGTACTTGAGGGCTTCAATGAGCAGGTCCTTGCACTCCGAGTGGTGCCGCACCAGCAGCTCCGTGTCCACGTTGCTCATGAGGAAGTCCCGGCTCAGCAGGGGCAGCCGCACGCACTTCATAAGCTGGGAAGGGAGGAATCACACGCCGTTGGCAAGGTGGGAAGGGTTCCTCCAGTGCTGCTCCTATGTCTTCCATACAAACCGCAGGGACCCTGGCAAGGCTGACTGACCTGGGGGTGCCGTCCTGCTCACTTGTGATGAAGGGCACCACAGCACATGGAGCAATTCAGTCTTAACAACTCTGCAGAGCCAGGAGTCCTCAACCTGGCCATGACACATCCGATAGACCCAATAGATCCCAACCCTCCCCTCTACCAGTAGCCACATCCTCTTCTAGCATCCATGCTACAGATAACAGAGCCCAAACACTGCTCCCCACTGACCAACATACCCCATGTTGCTGCATTGCCCTCAGGAAGGATGTCTAAGCACACACAACCAGCAAAGCAGGGGGGACAGGCTGCAGGCAGGGCTCCCCACAGCTCCATGTGTGCAAGGCAGGGATCACACAGGGCATCCCCTCTGGGAGACTGAACTGTCTCGGCATCACCTGGACTGGAAGTGGTTTAGTAGGGACCTGTTATCCCTGCCCTCTGTCCACCCTACAGCTTCTTCCAGCCATGTATCCACCCAGCCCAGGCACTCAGAGCTGGTCAATGGAACCAGGCCACCTTCCCTAGCACACTCACCCTAGGGACATGCTGTCTTCTGCTGTCCACATCGTGTTTGACCCAGCTGAGCACAGCCCGGTACACCTCCTCCTCCGATGGCACATTGAGGCTGTCACTAGATATGAGGTCCAGCACCTGCAGGGTGCAAAGGGCAAGTGTTAGCTGGTGTGATTTGGGAGGAAAGGACCCATTCACACACAGGTAGCAAGGAGAGGCAGAGCTCCTGCCTCCTGCAGATGCTGGTGGTTGAGGGGGCACATCTACTCTCCCTCATAGGATCCAAACAGTAACCAGGTCCCCCAAACCAGGAGCTGTGCCTCTCCTCGCTGGTGTGGAGACAGCTCTGCCCTGGATCATCCTCCTTGGCTCATCCCCACCATTCTGTGTCTGAAGCTGCTGCAGTGCCTGACACTTCCAATCAGCATCAGTGAGATCAGGCAGATGACTCCGCTTGCACGTGTCCCTTCAGTATTCCATGGGATAGAGCCAGGTGCCCTGGCTGTTCCCAGCACACTCGCTTCACCGGCCGAGGACTATGAAGCTGGGGCAAGATACGACCCTCCCCTGGCTGCCACGCACCCCACTGCCCTGGGAACAAAGGGAAATGTCTGTATCCTGCTGAGGGACCACAGAGGTCAGATGATGCAAAACAAGGAGTGAGAATGCCTCCTGGCCAAGGCACAGCACCCTGCAGCCAGTGATGAGCCAGGAGCTGCCCTGGCACCACTTGCAGAGCAGCAGGAAACATTAGCTGAGCTCTGAATTAAACATCACAGCTATGTGAGCAGGGCAGCAAGGACTTATCCCTTGGACTGTGCCCTCTGAGAGAGGGCACTGTGCTCAGAGCTCACGTGGCAAGCACCACTGGCAGCAATTAACCTCCCATCCCTATTTCACACGGCATTAAGCACTCTTCCCGTTTATTGTCTCTCCACTGGACCAAAGCACAGAACATGGGTTCATTCCCTACCAAACCCTGTCCCCCCAGTGCAGGTTCCTTTGGCTTTTGGCACATGGACTGTGTGAATAGAGCAGGATTCCTATACCTTCACACTCCCATGAGGACCTCACCTGTTTAAGAGGCAGCAACATGAACTCCTCTGTCTTGGACACCTCCACGAAGTGCTGGAGGACATACTTGTGTGCAGACTTGAGGAGGTCGCTGCAGGAGTGAGTGTCAGCAAAGCCCCGGATGCCCAGGCAGTTGGATGGGTCGAGCTGGCTGAGCAGGAACTTGCAGCAAGCATCCCGCACACCATTGAGCTGAAGCAGGCTGGCAGCAGGAAGAAGTGTCTGGCAGTGGGAAAGAATAGGGGGAAAAGAGAGGTTCCAGAGCAAGGAAACCATTCTCACCCTCATCTCAGTGCAAGGCAATGTCAGAGCAGGTTTACTGAACCCCTTCAGGCACACAAGCACGATAAGAACAAAGCACTCTTTGTTTCCAACAGGACTAAGAAAAAGGCAGCTGAGGACACCCCATAGGGCCAGGAGAATGGGAGATGCTCAGACCTGCCCGTTGCACAGTGCTTTGAGGAGCCACATCTGTGGGCAAGGGAAGCAGATGAACACCCTGACCACTGCTAATGTGGGTACCATCGCAGAACGAGTTGTGCATCCCCAAGGGGTAAGTGTTGTACAGCACAGCTCTGTGGAGGAGGGAGGTGTGTGGGGAAGCTCCTACCTGCACGTTCCCCTCGCCCACCACAATCTCAGCCGTGTAAGCGTATTGCACCAGCTGCTCCAGGGCCTGCGGGTCAATGTCGTGCAGCGTCACATGCGTCTGGCGGCTCTCGCTCATCTCATCTGGGGCAACACAGATACTGGGCATGAACAAAGGCCCACAGCAGGGTTGTTTCCACAGAGGAAGGCTTGACCACGTGTGGAACAAGTCACATCCACCTCTACAACCCAGCGTCACAGCTCTAGAAGGTCTCCTGCCCACCTCTTAGCTGTATACTCTAGGGAATTGGGTCCATGTCTGAATGATGGGCATCAAGATGCCCATGCAGGGTGTTGTGGGCAAAAGGCTTCATGGAAGGGAGTCAAATAAGGGATATTCATAGAATCATAGGATGGTTTGGGTTGGGAAAGACCTTAAGATCATCCAGTTCCAACCCCCTGCCACAGGCAGACATGCCTCACCCTAGACCACATCACCCAAGGCTCTGTCCAGCCTGGCCTTGAACACTGCTAGGGATGGAGCATTTACCACTCCTTCAGGCAGCCTGTTCCAATGTCTCACCACCCTTACAGTGAATAACTTCTTCCTTATATCCAACCAGAACATTACTGCACTTCTCACAGGGATGATGTAGAGGCACCATATTTCCATCAGGTAAAGCAGTGAGAATAGGGAGCAGGTCAGAAAGGGGAAGTGGTTTCCAGAGAGGGCTGGAAGAGCGGGGAGGCCCTGGCCATGGGGAAGAGAAGAGGAGGACACTACTTGCTTGTGAACATGGCGTGGAAGTAGGGGCTGCACGACGCCAGCACCACCTTGTGGGCCTTGATCTCCTTGGTGCCCACGTGGAGCACGATGTCGCAGAGCAGCCCGCGCTGCCGCATGCGGTTCATGCACACGAAGGCGTCGTGGTAGTGCCGCTTGGAGTTGTGGGAGATGCTGTGCCCATCGCGGTTGAGGAGCTGCACACCCCCTTCCATGGCTGAGGGTGGCTTTCCCTTCTCTCCAGCACTGACAAGGGGGGGAAACCAAAGCATTACCCAGGCAGGAACAGCGCCACGCAATTCCCGTTGTCCCAAAGTATGGTCATCACTGCTCAAAGGCTTTGCACAGGAACAGCTCCTATCTAATCCCTGCCAGACATCACCCTGCTCATGAACCAGGGATGTGGAGGAGACAGTGCCTGGAGGAACACAAGTGACACAAAGTGATGCTGAGACTCCTCTGTTCATCGCTTCCCAGGTGTGCCTGTCCATCTTTGGATTGCCATCCTCCTTACCTGCCTTCAGAAGGGCACTGCTCTACAGCAGGTACACTCACACTGCTTTGCCTTGAAGTTGCACCAGCTCCATGTCTCCCTATCAAGGTGCACTTCCATGCAACAGCAGCAGAAGCATTGATCTTAGAAGTCTCACCAAGGCATGCCAATCCTACATTGATCAAACACAGCTTAATCAGACCGCTAAAGATAGCAAACATGACAACCCTCCTTAGCCTGAACAAAAGGGAATCCCATAACCTAAAAGGCAAGAGGGATGTTATGGACCACAGGTCTAAGTGGTGCCTGTCCCCTTCCAACTTCCAACTGACTCTTCAGGTGCACTAGGCTGATGCAGGTCACTTGCTGCCCCTAAGATAACTGAAATGAGCCCCAAGAAACCACTGCCCCTTCCCAGCATGGATGGTCTGAGGGCATGAGCCACATGTAAGGATAGGAGGAGGGATGGGGCCTCCACAATAGGTTTGGGATGTCTGTGTGCTAGTGTTTGGCACCAGGAGGTGGTGGTTTGGTTTGCAGCTCACTAACACTTCAATGTACTTTTACAATGTGCTACAACGCCTTTTGGTTGTGATCGCTACAGCCCAGCAAACATCTCTTGCTGGGTATTCCCAGGTGGCTGGTTAGGGACCAGCAAACACACACTTTAAGATCTTCATCCCCACTTATTTCCATTGTCCTCTACCCAGCCATGCCCAACCCCAGCCTCAAGGCTGCACCAAACAGAACTGCTCCTGGTCTGCGCTACGGGCAAAGCATCCTACATCTCCCTGGAAGCATCCCTGGCTGTCATTCAAGAGGTAACTTGGAACTTGGAGTAGTTTTGGCTTGAGGCAGTCAGCAAAGACCAGAGATGCTGATGGGACCCAATGCAGAGCTATCACACACACCTCTGAGCACGGAGTGGGACAGTCCTGATCAGCCTGGGACAGGGAGTGGGAACATAAACTCCATCAGCTCATATAGAACAAAACCTGCCCAAAAAAGGCACGTTTTCTCTTTCCACACCGTCTGTGCTGTTCCGAGAGGCGTTTGGCTGTGTCAGCACTGAAGGAAAGGTGGGAGAGTGAAAGGGGATGACTGAGCAGCAGGAGGAAGAAGGGGGAGGAACAACAAGGAGCCGCGTGCTGCGTGGTGCCTGCCTGCGCATCCCTGCCGCGAGAGAATCCCTCACAGCACCTCCGCATCCCCAGCCATCCTGGGCCTAAAAATAGAGCCCCACCACGCTGTGCAGCCTCCTGCTCGGGTCTGAATAGCGATCGTGTCACGTATGAGAGGCTGGGGGAGGAAAGGAGATGAATAAACATCTTTCCTGAGCAGGAGAGAAGCCTGCAATGCCCTCAGCTATCTGCATCATCTGGCGTGATTCCTCATGCCCCTGGCAGCAGGGAACACTCAGGGTCACGCAACAAAAGCAGTGCCTGTTGATGCTTTCCAGTAATGAGTGGGATGCCAGTGTGCCCTTCATAGGGAAGAATAGCCCATGAGTTAAGTGGTCTTCTCCTACACCCCTCAGAAAGCTGTAGCACACCCTCAAGTGTGTTAATTCACACTGCTGGATGAGAGGGACCCACACGAAGGTGGTTTATCACTGTTAGCATCTCTAGCTAATCCTTTCCCAGACCTGGGTTAGTGGCAGAGAGCAGATGGTGCTTTCTTGCCCTATTCCCCTCCCTGGCTGCAAGCTGAGGGTTTTCTTGATCTGCTTGAGCTGGTTTATCTCTTAAATACACTGCTGAGGATGCTTCTCCCCATCCCTATGTAAGTCATGCCCCAGCCCTAACTGAGCACTTGCATCTCCCCTCCTGATAGTGAGGGATAGGAGCTCTCGGCTCCACAGCAGCAAGAGGACCAGGATGCAGGATGCAGTAGAAGAACTGGGAAAAGACAGGACAACTTCTCCTTGTGCTGCTGGAGACTTGTGAGGAAGGGTTTGCTGCCCTGGCCTGGCTGGGGTGACACACAGTCAGCGGAGACACACAGAGGGCACAGCAGACTGAAGGTTGCTGCAGCTGAAGCATTGGCATCACAGTGATCAAACTCATTTCCAAAGAGGGTCGGGAATGCTGGGCTCTCTTCCCAGCCCTGCTACTGAGTCATTGCACAACTCTGGGCAAGTACAAATGCAGAGTGACAAGGGTGACATTATCTTCCCTTGCAATGATTCCCACAGCCACGAGGTAGGGGACCAGCTATTGCTCACTCCCTTTCCACCCACAGCCACTGCTGTGCACCTCACAGCACTCTGAAGAGCTCTCCATCACCCACATTGATGCACAGCACCCTGAGCTACACCACCACAGTGTCACTTGGTCTTTGATGTGACCAAGCAAGGCCATAAGGAGATGCCATGGGGCTCTTGAGCACCCCTGCACCAGGGGACAGTGCACAGCCCGACCTGGCCCACCTGCAGCCTGAACCAGCCCTGCTTGACAGTTTATTGCTACAGCTACACAACAACCTCAGCAATCCCTTCCTGACGGGAAAATGTCACCCTCCTGAAGCACAGGGAATGCTAGCATGGAGCTTGCAGTGGGTACAGCCCCTTCACCCTACTTCCCTCTCCTCTGCAATCCCACCAGAGCTCTTTGGCTTTAATGGATCAGAATATAATAAGTGGGGAAAAAAGGGACACCCCACTGCTGCTTGTGCTGCTCCCTGAGCCTGAACTCTCACCCTCACTGCCAGTACTCAATATTCCTTCTTTCCTTCTAAAACTTCATTCCCAGGAAGTGAAGGTCTATGAGCATCACTAAGACACAATTCATGGGAACAGTGCCTGGACCACAAGAGACAGTGAAGCAGTGTCCAGAGCTGCAGTCAATACAAGCCCACTTTTGTGGAGCAGGCAGCACGTGTTGAGCATCAGCTGTAAAGGATGCGGGGCCTGACTTGTAATAACTCTTAGGTTATGACAACAAGAGGAAGGCGTTTGTTTGGCTGCGATGCGACAGAGCGTGGCCGTGCATAACAGCTCTGGTAATGAATGCAAACGATCCCTGCCCAAAGGGAGCTCTGTTCTCGTCGCACAAAACACCAGCTTTAGCTGAGAAGCACAAACAGGGAACAGAGGATCCTCCAGGGAGAAGCTGAGCCTGCCCTTTCCCCAGGAAGGCCCTGGAGAATGGCTTTTTGTTGACAGCCTGCATGGAGGTTTTGTGTCTGGCAGGAGAGAGCGCAAAGACACATCCTGTGCAGCTGGTCTGGTGTTAGGGACAGGTCTGTGCTGTGGAGAAGTGATATCCTCTGCTCTAAAGCATGGAATCAGCTGGGTTGGAAAAGACCTTCAAGATCATTGAGTTCAACCATTCTGCAGCACTGCCAACGCCACCACTAACCCATGGCACCTAAAGCATGAGGTGCCCTAAGGCCTGACATGAAATCATGCTTAAATCCATCACTTCCACGTGTGCCCTATCCCTATCCCAATACCTCTTTTCAGCTGCAAAGCCCTGGTTTGTGCACAGCACTGCATCTCCCATGGAAGTGCTGCTATTAGACCTTCAGGATAAGACATGAAGTCCTCTCTGGCACTCACCAGTGTCATGGCACTAACAGAGCAGAAGGCAGCACAGATTGGGTCAGTAAGGTGGCATCACATTGCCAGTTTCCCTATCAGGGAGTCATTTCCCTCCTTCCTTGGTGTTGTGGTGCATCTTCCAAACACAAGTCCTGTTTTTAACCCTGCAGACTGCTGGCTCTGTCCTTAGGCTGGAAGGGGCTGCTCCATTCTAAGCAGTGAAGCCAAAGCGCTGTGCTCCACAACAGCACAGCACAACTCATCCTGGGCCAGAGGCACAGCATGAACCCTTGGGGAAAATGGAGCTTGACAGTGGAGTCACAGGCAGAAATCACTGCTTCCAAGTGCATCTCCATCTCCCTTACAACAGAAATCAGAATTCCTGTATTCAACCCCTCTGAAAGGGGTCACAAGCCACTAAACAGCCTCCTGCAATACAGCATCCTCCCAAAGAATGCAATACAAAATGCACATTAAAGCTCAGGGCAGCACCAGCCTGGGGGGGAAAGAAGCACAAGCAGCTTCTTTCCTCCTGGGAGCAGGGCTGGGAATGTTCTCCTGTGTTCCTGCAGGCTCTTTCCTCCCTGCAACAGTCAAGGGACACAAACAGCTGAGCTGGCACTAATAGCTGCTGTTGTGCTGCTGTAAAGAGCACTAACACAGTCCCAGCATCCAGAGATGCAGCTGAGCACATGCAGGCCTGCAGATTCCCACCTCTGTTCCCTCATGGAGTTAATTCAGCTGAGCCACCCCTTTTGTTGAGCCCTGTCCATGTCTAAAGAGCAGCTTTAAGCTGCCAGATGACTGGCAGTATTTTTGCATCAGTAATCCTCTTGCAGTAAGCATGTCTAGGACACCAGGGCTGTTTCCAGAGGCTACAGCACATAGACACTACCTGCCCCTATACCTTCAACTTGGGTAGCCCAAATTCTTGCTTCTTTCAAAGGGCTGGCACTGCCTGTTACAAAATACATTCATTCCTATCTTTCCTGCTCCTTTCCCACAATAAGAATGAAACAGGGCTGGAAATCATCCAGGCCCAGGGCTCAGATGCAAAGCAAGCAGTAAATCAAGGCTGCTATCCCCACCAGGACATGTCCCATTAGCATCACTGATACAGACAGAAAACTATCCCCTCAATATAACACTTTAGGTTCAGTTCCTTCTCAGGCCCTGTAACACTTTCCCTGCATCCAGGGAATTCCAGCAGCTCACGTTCTTGTTAATAGAAGGTTAATTGTGTGCTCAGCCTAAAAGAGCCAATGACTGTGAGGAAGCAGAGGGAACTAATAGCTCAGGACCAGCAAGAGAACCAGATGCTCTGAGCTGCAGGTCCAGCCATCACTCCTGTGATGGCTGATTGACAGCTGCACCTACGTAGAGGTCAGGACAGCAAACAGTGATGGAAATGTGGCAGGAGGAGCTGTCATTCCTGGTCAGGTGGCAGAACTGGGAAGCTGGCAGCTTCCGACAGCCAGATTGAGGACTCGGACACCTTGTGCCAGCTCCTGATGGACACGGAGGAACACATGAGCGCAAGAACGCAACGGGATGAGCTGCAAGGAGACGTTAGCAGCACGTATCTCAGCTCCAAACACTTCTCTGCACCACCTCCTGCTGCCAGCACTGCCCTGACCACATCTGCTTTCTGTTCCCCAAGCCCCCTGCTATGGATGGGAGGGCAACACATACTGCTGCTGTCCATGGAATGGGCTCTGAGGGCACCGCAGCAGTGCTGAGTCTGCAGGACTGCTCGGTTGGGTTCGGGTTGGCTTCTTTTAATGCATGAGGCATAACTGACACGCACTGAATCCTCCTGTCTAGACATCTGCAGAGAAGTGACAAGCTGCCAGAGAGGATGTGGAGCCGCAGCAAGGGGGTGGGGAGGACGGGATAAAGCTGCACACACTTGCCAGCTCCACAGCACAGAGTGCTGGCTTCAGGCAAGAAGGGCATTGAGCACATTGACCTCGTCAGAGGCTTTCAGCAGCTCAGTGGGTTGTCATCAATGGGTTCTGGTGCATGCACAAGGCTGGAGGTCTGTTCTAATTAAAACCTCTCTCCCCATCACTCCCAGGGAGCTGTGTTTGGGAACTCAGCTCCAAGTTGCTCTCCATCACCCAGCTCAGAAAGGCTTTAGATGGGAAAGGAGGGAGCACAAGGCAGAGCATCAGTGCCTGCCCTGGGATATTCTCATACCTGGAAGAGACAATGGGTATCCAGCCTGCTGGGTACACAATCTTCTCCCTCTCTCATGCACACTTTGCAGCTCTTCCTGCAGACATCTTCAAAGGGTTTTGCCTTCAATACATCGCAGGCAGGGGATTGCAGCAGCTCCAGGCAGGGATGCTTGAGGAATTTAGAAGCACCTCTGCTAACAATTGGGTCACTAAGTAATTGGTTGTAAGGGTCAGGACCCAAATAGATTTATGACTCCTAATTCCCAGGTTAGGGAGGAACAAGGAATGGAAACCATGCCTTGAAGTGTGCTGCAGCACTGGGATTAGGCAGCAGCTCCCACAGGCCAGCACAAAGCACACCGAGATATAACTGAAAGGAGCCCTTTGCCAAGGAAATGTGGGTCATGTCCTAATTCCCCCTTCCCAGTGTCCCCCACAGACACAGGGGAGGAGCTACTGTCGCATCCAGTGCTATTTTATAGCACAAGCAGTGCCAAACCTCTACATGTAAGCATCATGCAAGTCTCTCCAGGCAGCAGGGTGATAGTTAACAGCTTCAGCTGCACTACCCATCACTGTGGTACCCCTGACCCCCCTCCAGGCATCTCCGTCCCCATCTCCCCTTACTCAAACAGGTAACCAGACAAGCTGAGAGCACTCAGGTCACTGGAGGCAGCCCATAGAAGAGTATCTCAGTATTCCTGGCTCCTACTCTTGCCCAGGAGTTCCTGTCTGCAACATCCTTGGCCAGCAGCTATTCAGAGAGGGACTGTGCCCTTTACCTGTCTGCTGTGCAAGGTGACACTGGTAGTAGATGGCAATGGGCCAGTTCAGAATGGTTGTTACCAGTCAGCAATGCCCTGACGTCAGATGAGAGCGAGGAGACTCAGGACTTGGCTTCTAAAGGGGAAGCTGAGTCCATGACGGGACACTAGGAAAGAAGGAAAAGGCACTTGGGTCTTTTGGCTGCAGTGAGCAAATCTTTCACTGCTGCCCTGGGGTGCACTGAGTCTCCAAACCAGGTCACCGGTGATGCCATCACCTGCATCCCTTTCACAGGGACCTCATGGGCCACATCACTTACAGACAAAGCCTCCTGCCAGCCCCAGCCATGGTATGGGTTGGCAGCATGGAGGTACCAGACCATGTAAGCACCAGACCATGTAAGCAGAGAATCCCCTCACATCATAGGCAGCAGCACAGGGCACATACATGAAGACTGAGCTATGAGGAGCATGTGATATTAATGGCCTTAAGTTTGCTGGTACACTGGGAATTGCAACTGAAGGAGCTTGAATCCTTGATCCTGACTCACATCCCTTATAGAAGGCAATGTGGTTTGCAGCCAGCTCCAGCAGGCCAGGTGGAAAGGACGAAGACCCTCAAGAGGACCAAGCCCACCAAATCCAGCTTGCCTAAGGGTTTGGAGGCAAGGCTCCAGCACCTGAGACAATACAGAAGCCAGCACTGAGACTTCTTTGAGCGGCTGAGCCTGAAATGCAGCTGACAGAAAGCATTAGGGATCATCCTTGCTACCCAAGGTGCTAAGGAGCCATTCCATGTGGATTCCGGACTGCCAAGCCAAGAGACAAGTGACTGTTACGTCTGCCAGCTTCTGGTCTGCTCTGATTTAGGTGCTGTTTGCTGTGATTCATGAATCAGTTCTCAGGAAGGAAACTCATTTTGACATCCAAAATCCCAACGAATCTTACTCACTACCACACTGAATAGTATTTCTATCAGATGTGCATGGGTCAGGAGAGAAACTCAGGATGCAGATGGGAGAGATTCCACGGATGTTTGCTTGGCTGTAGTGAGCACAACCAAAAGGCATTGTAGTACATTGCAAAACTACATTGAAGTGTTACTGAGCTGCAAACGAAACCATCACCTCCTGGTGCCAAACACTAGCACAAAGACATCCCAAAGCTGTCGCTAAGGCCCCGTCCCTCCTCCTATCCTTAAACGTGCCTCATGTCCCATCCGTGCTGGAAAGGGGCAGGAGCCCTCTGAAGCTCATTTCAGGTGGCCCTGTCTTAGGGGCAACAAGTGACCTGTATCAGCCTACTGCTGTCAGGGGCACAAGCACCCGAATATCCACATGCTGCTGAATCACTCCAGAACAAACCTCCCTCTCTGTGGTCTCCAGCACCCCAAGACAGCGCTGATGGGACAGCAGCCCTTGAAGTCAAAGAGGATTGGGCTCCCTTTACAAAGAGACCCCATCAAAGCAAGGCTGCTGCTCCTGCAGTTTCCTGGCTTGGCACAGAAGCCGGATGGGTCGGTGGCTGTGTCCTGGCACACAGGGACCATTGCGTTCCTTCCTTCCTGTGGAGAAGCTGAGGTCCCAGAGCCTCATTCCTTGGAGAGGGAGGCAGAACCCAACCGGCTGCCTGCTCACAGGACCACCTCCATGAACAGGGATGCTCTAGCTCAAGGAGAGCTTCCTGCCTTAAGTCACTGCAGAGGCCAGATATCCTCCCTCCTGCTTGTCCCCCCAGGTTACCACATAACCTGAGGCAACGTTTCTCCCTCTGCCCTTCATCCCTCCACAGCCAGCGGTACCAAACACCCCGTGTGCTTCCACGGAGCGCAGGCAAAGCCACACCGGCCAGAACGGCTTTCCCCTGGGCCCCAGCGTGTCGCTGCGGCTTATTCCCATACGGAAGGGATCGCTCCACGACTTGGCAGAGGACAGGGAAGGAGAACACGCTTGGCACAGATGCGCTGCCGGGCTTGGCCATGGACTGATGCCGGGATACAGAGCGGCAGCGGCTCGGAAACAGCGTCGGTGGCTGCTCTGGTACCCGGTAGGCAAAGTTGCGCCCTGAGCATCCCTCCTTCGGGGGCATCCTCCTCCTTCTCCTGCCGGCCCCCCGCTATCCCCACGGATCCCAGCGCTCCCGCCGGGTCCGGCTCTGCCGCTCCCTCCTCCTCCTCTCCCTCGCCATGCCCGGTGATACTCACAGCTCCGGCTCGGTGACGGCCCGGCCCGCGGGATGCTGTTGTGGGGCACCGCTATTCCCGCACCGCCGGCCCCGCGGCGGGGAGACGGGGCGGGGAGACAAGGGGCGGGCAGGAACACGGCTCCTCCTCGGGACAAGGCGGCCCCGCGGCTTCCTCCTTCACCCGGAATAACCCCCGCCGCGGAGCGGTACCAGGGGGGAATCGAACCCGTGGCTCCGCAGAAGCGGGGGTCCCGCAGCACCGGCCCTGCTAGGACAGCCCGGTGAGGGGCGTGGCTAGGGTGCGAAGGGGGCGTGGCCAGCTCGATCGCCCCGCCCCTCTGCGGGGCGTGCTGGGAGCGGAAGCGGCGGCCGCGTTGGAGCCGGGCGGGAGGCATGGCGGCGGCCGGGAAGAGGTGAGGGAAGGCGGGAGGGCTGGCCCGGGGCGGCCGCGGGGATATGGGATGCTCCATAGGGTGCTGCGGCACCGGGGGGGAGCTTTATAGGGTGCTCCGGCACCAGTGAGGCCTGTCGGGGGCTCTTCATCCCCGCGCTAGGGCCGCTCTGAGCGGGCAGGCCTTCTGAGTTCCCTTCTTCCCTCAGGAGCCTGGCGGAGCTGAGCCTGGATGAGTTCCTCGCTGCCGGTTCCGAGTCGGAGCCTGACGGTGCCTGGGAGGAGGAGGAGGAGGAAGCCAGGCCCGGCAAAGGGGCTGTGGCGGAGCGGCGGCTAAATGGGAAGGCGAGGCCGGCGCGGGAGGCCCGGCCGGCTCCGAGGTGAGGGCGCGCTGCTGCGGGGCGAGGCGAGGCGCGGTGCGGTGCAGCCCAGCGCCTTCATCGGCTGCTCGGCTGGGTGCGCTTTCGGTGTTGCCTCGTTTCTAAGCAGGGAGCTCATGCTATCTACCATAGAATGGGCTGGTTCTGGGGCAAGGGGGGGTTAAAAGGGCAGTGACCATGGTGGGGTTGCGGGATACAAGATAGGTTTTCTGTTGTACCTGGGTCAGTTCAGTAACTGCAGTGAAGAAACGCTTATATGGGCTTTTAATCTTTCACAGGGTATATTGGATTCGGTCAAAGCTGACTTTAGTTTTCCCCGGTTTGTGTGTATTTGCTCTAACCAAAGGACTTTGGGGTGTCTGCAAGATACAAAATGAAGAAGTAGTTCTTAAGCAGTGATGAGCACCATCGGAAGCCAAAGCAATATTTTAATGCTGGGTTGGATTTTATGAAGCTTTCATTTGTCAGGTTTCTCTGGCAATACCTTTATAAAGCCTAGAGAGTAATTCAGGGAAATTGAGAATTGATGTTCTGTTTTCATGCCCTGTGATCCTTATCTCAGTATACTTTTTATCAATAGTTTAGTGCTGCATTAAAATAACCTTTCACAAGTCCTCTGGAGCAGGGATACAGAGCTGTGGCACAGCCCTAATCAGCACTCAGACCAGCCCCAGGTGTGCTTTAGTGGCCAGGAGTTGCTTGTTCCTCTGTCAGCAGAAGTGTGAGCAGTGAATAAATGCCTGTCAATTGTTATCCACCAGGAAGAAGGGAAAAGCATCTGAACACAAAGACCAGCTCTCCCGGCTGAAGGACAGAGATCCTGAATTTTATAAGTTCTTGGAGGAAAATGATCACACCTTGCTGAATTTTGATGCCTCAGACAGCTCGGATGAGGAGGAGGAGAGGCTGCATGTACCACCTGATAAACTGGAGGTATTAGGCCCTGTTTGGAGTGCTGAAACCAAGTGTTTCAATTACTTGTTAAATAGTTGAAGTTCAGTGCAAGGCTGAACTATATTTAGGCTTATAAGGGCACAGAGGGCTGGGGTGGAGCTTCCTCAATGATCATCTGCAGGTGTGCAGGAGGAGTTTAATGGTGGTCAAAGCAGAGCCTTAGAGTGTGTTTTCCCTCTGGCTTTTGCTTTGTGTCACCTTTCCCAATGAGGGTTTGTTTTGCCTTAAGTGGTATGGTTTCTCCTCCATTTTTATGTTATTGTGTTTATGTAGCAGAGCTCTAATTTCATTACTGCCTTACAAAAAGTGCCGATAACATCATGAATAAGCCCCACTGCTGCCTTCCTCTTCAGGAGCTACTCAGTAGAAGAGGTGCTGCCAGAAATGTGTAAGTCTTCTCTGTTTTGCTGTTAACTTCTCTAGGTAGCGAGTGATGAAGAAGATGAAGGTGACGAACAACAGGCAAAAGTCAAACGGAAAAGAGCTTCTTTTATCTCTGTGAGCTTGAAAATGGTTGAAGACTGGAAAAGAGCTGCAGAGGTGAGCAGGGAGCTCTTTAAACACTCTTCCACACATGTTGCTGCCTCTAAAGGACCAAACTCTATTTGTTAATGTTTCACAAAAGCCCATAGAGAAAATGTATGTCCTTATGTAGGTCTTATTCCTAGACCTCTAATGACCTCAGCATGACTTCCCTTTGCAGTGTCTCTTGGGCTGCAAGGTTAGAGTATGTGCACTCCATTTGAGGGAGACTTGTGTGCTCAGAAGGGGTCAAAATGGTTAACTATGGATTTCATATCCTCTTAGAAGCATTGTGCCTTTGGCAGCCCTAGGAACTCCTTTTAGTCACGTTTTTAGTGATGAAATTGCTGCTTCTGCTTAAGAGGGGGAGGCAAAGGTCAGACTGGATAGTTGCTCTCAGCTGATTAATTGCTTCTTAGACCCCAACCAATTAAAACCCTGAAGCCCATTTGAGCACAGGTGGAGGCCATTAGCACTCATTAACTCCACCTCACACCTGGCTGTTAGGTGCAGCCATTTTTGCAGGCCAACTTACAATGAATTCCCAGTACTCCATCCCAGTGAAGTGATTCAGAGCACTGCTTACCTTTTCTCCTCAGCAGTCCTTTCCTTCTTTCCCCAGAGAAACCTAACACCAAAACTATTCCATGCGATCACTCAAGCCTTTAAAGCAGCTGTAGCAACCACCAAAGGAGATGAAGGTGGGGATGATCCCAGCAAGTTTCAAGTCACTGATGCTGCAGGTGAGTTGGTTACCTTACTACTACTGTGAGAGAGGGAAGTCATTTGATAGGGAAGGTTTAGCTGTTGGAAGAGAGCGGGGATAAGTACTGGCAGAAGTTAACTTACCCTTTCTAGGCTTCATTTCACATAAGTAGCTTATCTTCCTGGTGGTGTCTGTGCAGTGGGATCTCCTCTGGTGTCCCAGGGTGTAAGTGTACCTCTTGGTGTGTGTGCCTGGAGCAGCTGGGCTTGCAGGCTGCTGAGGAAAGTACCATTCTTCATTCACTAGGCTGCTTAGCGTGAAGGTGAAGCTAGGTACTATTTATATGCTTGTAGTACATGGGGGTTTTGGACAACTTTTGCTGCAGCTTCTCGCTGTTCCCTCTTAGAACTAATCCAAGACTATTTTGGGTCTCACCATATAGTGTTCTATAATCACAGAGCAATTCAGAGTTCAGCTGTGTTATCAGGTTCACATTTCCTTAGCTAGGTCTAAGTAGCTAAGTACTGCATGTCTAGATCCCCTCTTTAGGATTATCATACTTGTAGAGCAATAGAGATGCATCCTCCAGTCTTGGTCCCCTTTTACATAAGCTCCAGGTCTTGCAGACAGTCCTGGTTTAGACTCACAGCAGCATGGCTGAGAGGAAACATCTTTATTAGTGTCTTGGAGCTGCATATGCTGCAGCTCCCCTTACTTTTACCACTAAATTAGCAGGTACTTTCTCACTGTGTTTATCAGCTTGTTACTGTGTGCCATCTGGAACTGGCACTCTGGGGTGGGACTACTTATATCCACCTGCTCTCCTTAATTTCTGGCCCAGCATAGGGCTTTTTATATCTCTTTCATTTCTTTTGTTAAAATCTCTTTCTTTAATACAAGATACTACATAGAATTCGCATATTGTCCATTTCTGTGACTATTTATTCAGAAATGCCTTTAATTTTCATTATGTTTTGGGGGAGATTGGTATTACAGACCCCTGGTGATGGGTCAGACTGCTTTTGTGCTTGATGCTGTTCAGTCAGAGGGCAAAAAGATGGCTCCTGTGCCAGGAAGCTGTCCAGTTATAATACTGCTGTTTAGCTAAAGTCTAGGGTAAGTTAAACTGCTCTTCTGTGGAAGCTTGAGGAAATGGAATAGTTCTGCTATGGGAATTACAAGCTTCAGTTCCTTCAGGAGCTCTTCTCAGATTGGGAATACATGGAAGATCATTTACCAATGCTTTACTGTCTTCTTTTAACCAGTGTTCAATGCCCTTGTGTCCTTCTGTATCCGGGACCTCTTCCATTACCTGCAGAAGCTGCTTTTTCCAAAACCCCCAAAGAATAAGCACAAGTAAGTCTGAGATTTGAGAACTGCAGGTGGGATGAAGGTGCTTGGGGCTTTTGAGAACTGCACTGTACGTAGCTGGAGTATCACAAGTATGCGACTTGTTAATCCAAGGCTTTAGTGGCTGTATTAAGTCCTTCCTCATCCCCTGGAGGGAACGTTGAGCTAAACTTTAGATTCCTTGTTGACAACGGTGCCTAGTCTGAGAAGTAAATTCCAGTTCTTTGTGTAAATACCAGTCTGGTTTCTTACCCAAGCATGACTAGTACAGACTGGAGCACTACTTCATGAGTTACAGCAAATGTCTCACAACTAGTTTGATCCCAAAATAGACTTGCTTGGTACAAGCCAGCTTGTTCTGTTCTCAGGCAGTGGCTGCAGAATGCCTGACTAGAAGATAACATCAGTGTGATTCAGGTTTGCACCAGGCTTTCTGGTGTCACAGCTCCCTGTATCACACTTCCAGAGATGCTGGGAAGCTCTGAAATGAGTTTTCTCCTGCTTCAGGCAGTTTTCACAGGTTAGAAGTACTACTGCTCACCCATAACAGTTGTTACTCCTTTAACTTCTTGCTTTGCAAGTGGTTGTTCTTGTTCACTGGCAATATAGAGAACTGAGCTCCCTTTCTGATGCTGACATCTAGTTTATTTGGGGTTCCTTTAAACCTAAACCCAACTCTTGCTCCTTTCCAGACTGATCCTCCCTTCCACCAGCCCACTTTGGAGCAAGCTGCGACTGGATGTAAAAGTGTACCTTGGCTGTAGCATACAA